TAAAGTTCAATAATTGCACCGTGTTAAATGACGCAGTTGTTCAATATACAATAATGCAGTGTAGGTGCCTGTTTAAAATACCATTTATTATGGAAAAAACGCAATCAAACATGAAAATATTGATTAAAATATTCTGTTATGACTTGTTAACATGTTATTCTTCTTGTGGAGGAGTGTATCTGGCAAGCGTAATTTGGCCAATAATGCACGTTTACCATCTACTAAAAAAGTATTATCAAATTGCAGACTTATTCCTGCATGGCGCTGTCAAAGCCTTGCCCACTGCTATAATTTTCTTCCTTTACTTTCCTGAATAAATATTTAGTGAAGCTCACCTTGCAGCCGCATTCCTCCATGGCGTCGTCAAAGCTCCACTCGTTATTGATGCCGAAGGAAAGTACAATGCAGGAGCCTGGAGTGGGTGCGACCTTAGCGTCCAAACAAACGGCCTTGTCGCCATCCAAATAATTTTTTCCTCCATATTGTTTTCCTCCAAACATTTTCTGTAAAGGTGGATTTAGGTTAAATATATGACCCAAATTTTTTTCTTTAGTCGTCGAAACGAGTGCTTGATTAGTATAGTAATTAATAAGGATCTCAAAACCAGGAATATACGCAACTATAACCGTTAAAGATTGATTCAAGCCGACCGTTAGAGATTCAAACGATGCGGGTCTACGACGCCTCGATCGCGCGGGTAGCGGACGGGGCTATATAAGGAGCTAGGTAGAAGCAGAGGGAACGCAGTTAGTGTCAACCAGCGTGCGGGAAGGAAGTCTCGTGATGGGTGTAGACTTTTAGTAAGTGCAGTCGGAGTTAATCGGCGTCCTGTGAGGAAGCCTCGTGTGTGGAGACTTACGGTTGAGCTACAAATTTGGCGTCGTGGCGTGAACCTGGGAAGAGCACCGCGTGTGCGAGATATTAAGCTCTGCAAATTAACTTCGACGAGTGAGCCTATTTTTCCTGGGGATTGAAGACCACGCTAGTAGATCTGATAGCGTAAGATTATTCGACGAGCGAACCGATTTTCCTGAGGATTGAAGACCACACTATTAGATCTGACAACGTAAGATTATTCGACGAGTGAGCCGATTTTCCTGAGGATTGAAGACCACGCTATTAGATCTGACAACGTAAGATTATTAATCTTCTTTCTTAATTGTTTAATGGTTTCCGGGTTCCTTCACTGAGATTTAGCTAGGGTCTCTCACAGCAATAAATCACCGGAAACAAGCCTGTTCAACACAACCGCCTGACGATAGTAAAGTTCCGGAAGTACAGCACAACCCCCTGACGGCAATAAAGTTCCGGAAGTACAGCACAGCCACCCGATGGCAATAAAGTTCCGGAAGCAATTCAAAGCAGGAAACAAGTCGGTCAGGCACCAGGAGCGACTACACACACGTCTGATGTCCACCGCGTCTCAATCTGAACTCCTGGTTGTCCACCACTTGACTTTAGCTCGAACTGTATCTAGCAGACAACAGACTGCAACCCAGCTCGCCAGTGGAACTTCATGAACCCTGCCGTGCACTACCAGACGGTCTCTTTTAGCTCACAACATCCGGAGTCAGGTTTCAGAAAGCATAGTTCTGTTTCAAATAGATAGCAGGCGACTGCTCACACTTTCTCAGCTTCGCTGAATTACGTAACTTTTAGCTCACAGCATCTGGGGTTAGGTTTCAGCTAGCATAGTTATGTTCCAAAATTTATCGTCCTACGACGCGTGACCGTTCGACCGTAGGCTGATTCGACACACGGGACAAATATGGACTGCTCCGGCGCGCTCCGCCCAGGTGGTGTGAATTTTTTCGCGTATTGGTAGACGATGCTGGGCCATTCTACGTCAGGCTATTTTCCTATGGGCTGATTGATCTAATTCAATAGATGTGATCTGGCTGGTGGCTTGCGGCTGATAATGTTACAGTCAAAAAGTTTTATAGGCTACTTTCTTGAGAGAAGGGATCATGATATTGTCCATTCGATGCACGGCAGTGGTGGTCGCCGACAGGCGTCCTATGGCAAGTTGACAACTAAAGTGTCTATAGCTATCAGTAATATAAAATTCCATATTGTAGATAGAACATAGTAATTTTTTTAGCGTAACTTTAAACAGCGACGGATGATGGGGTTTAACCAATCGAAAAACCAGTACGACAAGCCATAACACCTGGCCCATTTTTTACTCAATTTTACAGCCCGTGGCACGGACAATGAGTTAAGTTTATTTGATTATTTCCGTTTGATGCTTTTGTGGTATTTGTTGGACTGCTCAGATCTCACTCATAGCTCAGTGAAGTCAAACAAGAACAAAAAAATGCTCCACCTTCCAGGGAGGCTTAAAGCCAACTGAGTCGAACGGTGAATATTTTTCACTCATATTCTGTTTTGCTGCGGCTGCTGCTGCATGAAGTATAAAAAGTGGATGACTACTACCCAATTTTGCGGATTTCTAATCAGAAACAAAATTCTTGTGTTTGTCCTCCATTTAACGTAGGGTTCTTCAATTTGACGCTCGGAGAACGGCTTCCATTCAGTGGTTGCCGCACGCTGGGCAACGCTAGCTGCTAAGGCAATCAGATTTCCACTCAATTTATGATGAACGAGAGCGCCGTGGACGAAGATGCGCATTGCGTATTATTGAGGCACTGCCATCAGTAATTCTAAAGTCGTCATTTCATAAATTGTGAACATTTCAGAGTCACAAACGGTGGACCATACTCCAATTTGACCCCTGAGAAGTACTCTTCTGTGGTACGCAAATCCATCAATCGACCCGTCAGTATATATCACTTTGCAGGCTTGGAGTTCCAGTTTCCGAACGTCACCGTTCAGCGGTATCCATGCAGGCCCAAAATGAGCGTGTGGAAGTGGGGCAGAAAGCCTAGTTACAGAAGGCGATATGGCAAGATGGCAATCGAAGAGTCGCTACCGAATCGTCACCACCCGGATCATCGTCTAAGATTTCAATAGCAAGATCATTTGCACGACTTGGATGGTTGTACTCCATGCTCAATCAATGTTCAAAGACACGGTTAGCAGCTTTGTACTCTTCACAATTTTTGTTGTCGACCTGTTTGTCACCAAGCCGAATTTTTTCTTTACGATTCGATTAGTAGTATAATTTTATTCAAATGAGTGAGTGCCGAAAAATTTATTAATTTTTTCTCTTGCGGCAACACAAAGTGACTGTCGCTAACGAAAAAAAATGATCAGACCTCTGCTGACATCTCGTCATCTTGCTTCGTAATGAAGATTGATGAAAATATTATTATTATTTTTCATTTATGGGAGCTATTTGCATATTGTAAATAACCTGAAAATGTGTTTACATTGAATCTTCTGTATTTCCCTCAAGCATCATGGTGCGTTCTCAATCGGCTCTCATTATTTTTTTTCTCAAACGAGTTAATAGTCTATTAGGTGAATTGTTCGTCCAATAAAGCTTACAGCAGAATTTGGGTCAAGAGCAGAACTAAGTTATAGTACTCCAATATTTTCTAAAGTTTCATTGTTACGGGGCCCTTATTGACTTAGCGTAATTCAAAACCATAACCTATTCCGCAATAATTCTTCAGATTCGACACGCTTCTCGCACTTCATCACACGAAGGAAACAAAGACGACCAAATACTAAGATTTCATTCAAAACGGAAGATGACAAGTGTGTAAGAATCGAAGTCGAGTCTAGGCATCGAATGTCTCCCTGTAGGAGAGATGTACATTAAGGCTAAGTTTACAAATTGGACAAGCCCTAAACACATAATAAAGCTTAACAAGAATTCCTAAAACTTAAACCTGGACAGTAATAATTTAACACACTTAACTGCCAGATCATGAAATAAAAGACAACAGCACTGGTCCTACTTTCAAATATCCGATGATAAAGTACACAGTACACACCTGTTCCCTGCGGTGGCGCAAGCAGAATAAGGCTATTAGTAGCTACTAACCCGGACTTCAGGGTCAATCCGGCGCAAACACGTCTGGTTTATATATTAAAAAGACACTCAGAACAGTCCAGGTTTCACTCCTCTACATCATGAATATGGATTCAAATGAAAATCAGGTACTTGTACGAGTAGTGAAGATCAAATCACCGTGATAATATGTAATTTCAACTGGGGAAGTTCACATTTTGTTAAAATAAATGCAGAAATCTCGAAAAAGACCAAATAAAATTTTTGCATTAATACACTTAATTAGCTAATTAACTAGACATTTGATTGATGCTAAATGCCTTTTTAGGGTCCCAAATTGGAGCGTTGTTGCCAAAAAACTTTAGTAGTGTATCAGTGGAATTCATATACCGTCGACAAAATAATACAGATACAGTTCCTTAACAATTCAGTAGTTTAGAAAGTTGCAAGATTAGTTAGCGGTATAATCTTGCTATATATCTTTATTTACCACGCGTTCCATATATAAATAGAGGAATTATTAAAACATATAATTGTTCAGGAATGTGGTAATTAATTGGTTAGCAATATAAAGAAACAATTGGTGATGAAAATTGACTCAGTAAAAATGCTTCTTAGAAAAGCAAATCAGAAACTCGCAGATGTAAATATTTCTAAACTTAGTATTAGATGGCAGAATTTAATAGTTTATACACGTACGATTGATGACCAGAGAATTATTTGACTTATATTATCAGGGAGTGGAACTTTTCTTCAGATGACGGTAGATTAAAAGGCAAGTTTCAGAAAGTAGTTTTTCTTTATTAACGACGTTTCGAATGCAACAAACATTCATTTTCAAGTTAAAGAAGCATTGTACATTGAAATTTTGGTGGAAATAAGTACATAATATAAGTAACTAGGATACAACAGTAAAATTTTGGACCAAAAATTACTCATTGAAATTTTGGTGGAAATAAGTGCATAATATAAGTAACTAGGATACAACAGTAAAATTTTGGACCAAAAATTACTCGGAAAATTCTTTCAGAGTTCAGACAAATCCGGTAGTCAGAAAATAGCTGGAGTCCAATCTGTAGAGATGAGAGGTTCAGCTGTCGCCGGTTGGTTGTTGTCGGGCCACTGCATGATCATGATGCTGGTGAGTACCTTCAGCACAATGCAAGTGACGGTATGGCTGTGAGCTTGTCTCGCGTAGTTCACCTGCCCTCCAGTTTGAAGGTAGCTAACGATACAGCGGCTCGGTGTCTTGATTGTTAGTCCAATTTGTCCGATGTTGTCTAAAACATGAAGAAGTCTACAACCTTCTTTGAAGCAAAATTTATAGACTACACCGGCCTCTCGGATAACTCCCGCGTTTTTGCAGGGGCCTTTGTTGCGTTTAGTTTGGAATTTGACATTGTTGTCAAGAGTGTCACAAAGCCTGTTGAATTCATCGACGATTTTGAGATGAACTTGCTTGTTAATGATGCTTTGAGACCTGGTATGGTAGTGAGCTTGTCTCTGGTGGTAGGAGAAACGGCAGTTCAATGTCGCAGTTGCCACTCCAATAA